CAGACTCACAGATGTAGAGAAGGAACTAGTGGTTACCAGTGGGAAGAGGGAAAAGGGAGGGGCAAGATGGAGGTGGACGATTAAGAGGTACAAACTATCAGGTATGAAATAAGCCACAAGGGTGTATTGTACAACATGGGGAATACAGCCAAAATTTTATAATAACTGTAAATGGAGTGGAACCTTTAAGAATTTTTGAAGCACTATATCATATACCTGTAACATATCCTATTGTACATCAACTATAGTTCAATTTAAAAAATAAGATATTGTAAAATGAATACATAAATAAATTTTAAAATGGGAAAAAGAAAAAAAAGAATTGGGGTCTAGCAGTTCCCTTCTGGCCCCACAGGACACATTATGACCTTCCAAGAACACTAAAAGAGAAACCCAAAGGGACTGGAGAGTGTGCATTTGCATCTCTTGAGAGCCCCTACTTAATAAACCACTGGACAAGAATCTCGGTATTAAGCTCTGCTTCTAGGAAACCCAATTAAAAACATCAATAATGTGGACAAAAATATACATTGTCAGGGATAAGAAGGAAAAATGAAATGAGAGACCTTGTATGAACCAGCGCATGTCCTAAGCACTGAGGTGGATAAATCAACTCTCTGCATCTTCAGTCCCTCCCAAAAATTATTGAATGAGTGAATGAGCAGGGAGAGGAGAGAAGGGGAGAAGAGGAGAACCCTGCTTCTTCCCCTACTTCTCCCTTGTGTTCTCTATTCATCCCAGTCTCCCTTTCCTGTTTTCCCACCCTGACATTGTGTAAGATGAGGAAGATGTTTGAACGCTGGGAAGAAGCAGGTTTATGGGGAGAAATTTAGGGTATAGGAGGGTGAGGGGTTAATGGCTAGAGGAAAGTCTGCAGTGATGAGAAGAGGTAGGAGCAGACGACAGTCTCCATTATGCTGTGGGACACAACGTGGAAGCTGGTGACATGGTTTGGTAAAAAAAAATATACCAGAGGCTAAGGAAAGTTTAAGAATAAGGAAAAGTTTAATAGTCACGCTGCTACAGACAAGAGCGGGCCACATAGACCAGAGGGCCCTGTGTGAGCGCTGGGGTGGCTGTGCAGGTTCTGTTACTGGGGCGAGGGTCTGTGCATACAAGGAGAAGGGGGCTGCATGATCAGTCCATGCACAGGCACCTGATTGGTTGTCAGATCTGTCATGGGCTATTCTGAATAATAAGATTTAGGCGGGACCAAGATGGCAGAGTAGAAGGATGCTGGTAGCTCACCCTCTCCCACAAATAGACCAAAATTCACATCCATGGACCCACCCAGCCAACAAGAGCACCTGCTGAACTCCAACGAACATTGCCCTCTTCAAAAGACAAAGATGCCATGAATCCGGTAGGAGCAAAGGGTAAAGAAAGAAGAAAAAGCAAACCAGTGCGGGACTGTCCCACGGGGAGAGAGAGGCAAAGGAGGACTGGGGCTCATTCACAAAACCGCCCCCTCTCCAATGGAGAGGTCAGCAGGACGGAGGGGGAGCCTCCGAGGCTCAGATCAGTACGGAGCAGCCCTTGACTGACAGAACTAAGTTAAATGGGCATAAGGGGTCCCTGCGACACCCAGCCTGAGACGCAGGCCGGCAGCCCGGGGAAAGGACAGGCCACCCGAGCTGGGCGGAGGACTGGGGCGGCTGCACTGAGGCAGCCCCTGGGGGACTGCAGGGTACTGTGCACTGTGGCTGGGAGGGGACACAGAGCAGAACAACCTGGGCCCCCCATAAATTACAAAAAAAAAGAGCAAAGCAACACTGCTGGTGTGCCCTGAGGGGAGGGGTGCCGTAGCCTTTGCCTCCTCAGACCCACGGGGCCATTACTAGAGCTTCTCATGAGAAGAGAGGTGGGCCGCAGCCACAGCTGCCATCTCCTCCTGTGCTCAGCGCCTGGGCAGGGGCGGGGCCGAGATCTGAATCCACACCTGAGGCTCCACAACCTCC